ACATTAATTTAATATTATTTTAAATAAAAATATTTTTAAAAATAAAATATAATTTTAAACATAGTTGCATATTAACCATTTTTTATTCATTTTTTCTTTCCGTGCGAGAACATTTACTCGTATGGGTACACTCGACCACTGATAATTATACTGTATTTACATATAGAATTATACATGGATCTAATTATTCAAATCACGTAACTCAACTGACACATTTTATAAAGATTAGTATGTTAATCTGTGAACAATATTCTGAATATATGGCATAATAAAAATAAAAACTATATTTTATGTAAACCTTATAGAGGACTGGTAGGGATTCATATTTTTCAATGTTTTTCTTATTCAACAGATAAACGATTAAAGGGTTAATAAATTTAATTTAAATTCAATAACAAAATACTATTATTTAATTTAATGCATCAAAACATATTGTGAATTTAAAATTAAATTGTGCTTGTTAAATAAATTCTTAATATGACTGTATATACTATATATACTATATAGTATATATAAATATAAATACAGAATATTCTTTTATTTAAAAATAATCAATAAACTTTCAAGCGTAATCAATAGACAAAATTGTTTTATCAAATTTTATGAGCATGCAAATTGTTACCAACTTTTTTCCATGCTTATATTTGAATGACCTTTTATAATTTATTAATAAAATTAATACCATTATAAACGTATGGAGTAAACTACGGACTATTTGATAGGACAAGAATATTCATGATTGCATTGTCAATATTCTATGAATAATGAAATAACTATCAAACATTATATTGTAGGCGTATAATGTTTCACTAATGGGAAGGTATGATGGATAGTCTAACCGTATATATAGAGGGTATATAATAACCAAGTATAGTATTTATAATATTGTGAGACCGTTAAAATAAATACCCTGTTCAGTGTATTATAAATGTACCGTAATGTGCTGAAAAGGATCAAATTCACTTGCGTGTCGTAACAATAAAAATAATTAGATGTTTATAATTTTCGTAATTCGCACCATTTATCAAATGTAGCCTGGGCAAGTTATTGTTGAAATCCATAAATGAAATGCCAATTTTTAAAAACCTGTTTAGGTAGTAATACATTGTATTGTAAATGTAAGTTTGGAGCTTTTCATTAAAACAAAGGGTAGACTAATATTCAATAAATTTTTGTTTTGAATTATGTACTAAAAATTTTGTTATTTTAGTAAAATGTCCTTAATTTCCTAGAATATTGTGCAATACTCTTAAAATAAATTACTCAAATTAAAAATTGGTATATAATATAATTTTGGTAATATTGCCAATAAATGTCTATTTAAATGACATTAAAATCTAAGTTTCCATTAATGCTGTATTTATTTGAAGTATTTGAATCAATATAAATATAATTAATTAATGAAATGGATTCTGCAATTCATGATAAACACAACTTTATAACCTATGCTTAATAGTCAACTAGCAAATTTTATATAAATATTATGATAGCTCAGCAAAGTACAATAAATAAAATAATTTTAATTAATGTTCTTGATATATTTAATTATTTGTATAAAATTGAATATTATAGTATATGAATCTATTATATAAATTATCTATAAATATAAATGAATTGAAACACAAATTCATGGATTGAAAGGAAGTCGTATTCGGAGACCTTTACCTCTGAACTCCCGGCGCACAACAACCGGTCTTTTCATAAAACCTATGCAGAAAACACGTCTTTTCCTCAATACAATAGTATTTCTTATAAGACATAGCTCCTCATACAGATTATGTCATATAATTAATATATTAATCGACAGGGACGAGTAATAGCTACTGTTCCAGAGAAACGTGCACATGACTCGTTAGCATACGCTAAATGCCTGTCCAAAGTGTGTGAACCCTAACCTCTCGTCGTAATACGATTTATGGCACTGATGTTCAATTAGTCATTTCAATGTAGAAAAAAAGGTTTCGATAAATCAAATATTTTTTGACAATATTTCAGGAATATAGGAAATTCCGCGGAAAGTTAAAATATGCTAAAATTCATAAATTAAAACAATTTTCTGGTCAGTTAGCATTACCCAAGAGGAGATCGACCAGAATGTGTCTCACCCTTTTATATGGAGGTTGTTCTTTCAATCATTCCTCTAGTTCACCTATAAATAAATAGATTAATGGCTTTTATGATATCGGCGTTTTGTCATTATTTGTTCAATATTTGGTTTTATGTAATTGGCGCTGAATATTCGAAGTCTCGCTTCTAGTAATTTATCTCATATTCTATTCGTTTGTTTGGTCTTAATTAAATTCACAATAGAAAAAAGTTGCTCACAATCATATGTTGCTGAGAAAATAGTTATGATTTTAAAAGCATTTTGTTTAAGCAAAATGAACTCTTGTGGTAATCGACTATAGAAATCATTAATATTTGTGGATTTAAACAATTCTTTCAAATTTGAGTTTTGTCTTAATATTATCACTTCATTATATGTTATCATAAAGAATATTCTGTATCGAGGAGTATGTCTAATACAGTATATTAATTATATAATTAGCTGTCCCTGCTCATTATCGATGACAAGGTCTCTTTGCACGTGTACTGAGCAATCGTATGACTAAATGCCTGTCCAAAGTGTGTGAACCCCAACCTCTCGTCGTAATACGATTTATGACATAATATTTCAATAGTTTATACATAAATGAGAAAATCATTGAATGCTATGATAGACACCATTGGCACAGGAATAGGACGTGACCTTTTGGATGACTATTGACTTAACATTGAAAACAAATTCTCCTTATATTCTGTGAATTTAATTCTGTTATCATTTTAGCATTAAATAAAAAATAATATCATAAATGAATATAAGGTTAAACTAAGGATAAGTATTGTTATAAAGCACAAGTATCTCACTATGAACCTAGATCAGTAGACTTATTTTACTTTTATATAAATATCACTTCTAATTAAGCATTGTTATAAAACTCTGTGTTTATTTTGTTTATTATTTATAATTACATTGACTTTATAAACATTTGGGAAAAGAATACAACTTTTATTACTTTCTGTATATAAAAAATACTCTTAATATATACATTTATTATAGCATAATAGCATATTGTACATTATTTAGCAGAATACAACTATTTTGTTTAATAATTAATATGTTTACAATTATTTATTACAAGAATTTTCTTTATTATATAGTAATTAATTTGTTTATAAAAAATCCTTAAAATTCTATGCCATTAACATTCGGCACAAACTTAGTACCGCTTATTAAATATAAGAATTGGTTTGTGTTTTGGTTGTAATGATAGGCCAAACCTCTCCTCCAGAGTCAACACCTCATCATTTGCTGCACTTATTGTGTATTTTTGTAGAAGTGATACGAAATACAGGAATACCTCCACTCGTCCTAACGTTTCTCCGACACAATTGCGTTTACCTATCGGTCAATACATATACAGAATATTCTTTAATTAATTACTATATAATTAATATAAGTTCTTAACAAACCGTAAGAAAATGGTATCCAAGCATCGATTTTAATCACTTCTTTGTCATCACTTGTAAGGAATCGTTTGGGACTAAACTCTTGTGGTTTATGCCATACTTTGGGATCGTTATGAACGGCCCATATATTGGCTAAAACTTGTGTGTCTTTAGGTATGAAATGACCCAAAACTGACGTGTCTTCTGTTGTCCTGTTATTGTTATCAATAATTTTTGTGATTATAAAATGTAATATTATTTTATATATTAAGTGTAATTACCTTCTCATCAGATTTACAGGAATAGTAGTCTTATATCTCATCACTTCGTTAATGAATGCCTGAGTGAACGGCATATGAAGTCTGTCGGCATAACAGGGACTCCGATCTCTTCCGACCACAGAATCGATCTCTTCGTGAATCCTCTTCTGGTGTTCGCTGTATTTGGCGGACAATAATAGCAACCATTCAGTGGTCGTCCTCACCGTCTCACTGCCGGCCCCGAAGAATGCTCTGGCGTTTGCATCCAATGCCTTCACTGAAATACAATTAAAAACTTAATTGAAAACACTTTAATCAATGTCTGTATGTATGGACTGACGGGTGAAGTGAGTGTTGGGATCCTTTCGTTGTCTCACTTCCATCTCCGCTAAGTATCCGTCGATATAATCCCTCTTATTATTGGTGTCCAAAGACTTCCGGTGCGAAGAGATCTCCGATCTATTCATTCAAAAGCATATTAATTATAAATCTATAATCATTATGTCATACTATATGCTATAATATATACTAAGTTAGTACAATGATGTTATTAATATAAGAATTTTCAAATTCAGACAAACTACTCACTCAAATATGCTAACCATCGCATCGAAACCACTCCTATTGATTATATTACCAAGCTTAAAAAATATTTTGCTGAACCAAATGGGCGACATGGCTATCGTTCCTATAATGGAGAACCTGGATGAGGTCTCGTCTAAGAATTTGTCAAAGATCTTTCTTCGGGGCTCATTGTAATCAAATCGGTGGCCAAACAACAGGTGACTGATATTGTTGGACATACTCGGCACCAGTACTTCGTGTATATCCATGGGCTCACCATTAGTCTCATCGATACATTTTGTAAGATAACTGATCTCATCGATAATCCTCTCCTCCATAGAGCCCTTCCCGAAGCCTAAGTCTCGGAGCACTTGTAGGGCAGACCTCCTCTGATCTCTCCATACGTCCCCATTTTCATCGATTAAACCTATTTATTATGTATTTATAGTTAACTTGTTTATAAACTTCAAGCAAATACTGAATTAATAATTACTTTTAGCTTCAGTGAGTACAGTAAACGCCGTGTGAAGTGGTTTTCCTAAGAAGGCATCCTTATTGAAGGCATCCCTCGCAGCCTCCCAATCGTTAAGAACCACTACATTATTCACTCCTAATTGTAACCTTTATAAAAAATATCATTTATAATTAATTTAATTCTAACCTTAAACATAGCTAATATTAATTATAGAATTTATAGTTCATATGAATATAATTTTGTTAGGTAAATGTTGTCTATAATAATAATTAACTTAAGTAAATTTATCTATTTATAATATCTATTTAAGTATATTTTATATTATTTACTGCATATAGTACTGTGATACAAATAATCTTCAAAATTTTGAAGTTTGATAATATTATAGATATTATAGATGTATATTATAGATTAAAGTTGGTTTTAAGCAAATGCTTTATCAAACTATTTTTAAAACTTTCTTAATTCGCAGACTCACGTGAAAACTGATCCGTATTTGTCACCCAATTTAGTGATGGCTTTGTGCGGGTGTTGGCCCAGAAATGGCGAATACCCGACCACTGGTAGGCCTACCGGTCCCGACGGCAACCGCTGTCTCTCTTGAATCATATTCACTATATGTGTGACTAAACTGACAAACACTATAAATAGCGTAAAATACACCACATTTTCCAACAAATAATTAAACACAACGTGTAATAAAGTCATGATTTATTCAAAAAAAATTAAATCAAAAATTTTCAAAACTTTTCATAAAGTGTTTCAAAACTTTTAGTTTGCTTTCGACTAATGTATGAAAAATTGAATTCTCTTTTATATACAAATGAAATAGGTTTTTGTTATCGCATTACTAGTAGATATCAATTTGTATCATAATTTGATATTAGTATAATTATCAGTGGTCGAATGCACCCATACGAGTAAATGTTCTCGCACGGAAAGAAAAAATGAATAAAAAACTGGTTAAAAAACTAGTTTTAAAGTGATATTTTATTTTAAAAAATATTTTTATTTAAAATAATATTAAATTCATGTTAATGTTAAAGTACAATACAGAGTGATCAGAATTAATTGGGAACGATTTAAAACTTAAATAACAAACTAAATAT